AAACCAAACTCACTGCCGTCAAGTTGATTCCAACTCATAGTAACTCCTGCTTGGGTTTCTGAGGCAATATTTCTACAGAAGTACATTGCCCGGTCTTCCTTTCGAGGAGTGGCAGGTGGGGCCTCTAAATATGCCCCTATTTTTTCCTTGAGGAACTTATAGTTTTAGGTTTCACATTTAAGCCTTTGATCCATCTGTGGTTAGTTTTTGTGTATGGTGTGAAATAAGGATCTTGTTTCATTTTTCTGCAAATGAATAACCAGTTTTGCCAGCACCATTTGTTAAAGAGACTATCTCGCCCCCGCTTAATGGATTTCAGCCCTCTGTCAAATCAGCTGGCCACAGGTCAATAAATCTATTTCTGGATTCTCAATTCTATTCCACTGGTCTATGTGTCTGTCGTCATACCAGTATCAAGCTGTTTTGACTACTATGGCTGAATAGGAGGTTTTGAGATCCAGGAGTGTGAGACCTCCTACTTTACTCTTCTTCTTCAATAATGCTTTGCTTATTCGAGGTCTCTTTTTTTTCCATACATAATGACAATTTAATTAAAGCCATCTCTACTGAGCATTTCCTTCAAAAACAAATCAGCTGAAGATGTCAATACAATGGCCATAAATATGAAAACAACATACATTGAAAAAACTATTATTCTTCAAACCAAGAGACTCATGGTATAATCTTTACCACTAATTAATTTGGACAAGTCGATAATTTTCCATGGGTTTCAGTTTCCTTCTTTACAAAATAAAGGTCTATAACCTTGGCTATTCCAAAGGTGGTCCAAGGAACAACAGTATGGAAATAGCCTGGGAGCCTCTAAGAAATACTGTATGTATCTCAGGCCCCACTACAGACCTACTGAATCAGAATCTGCATTTACACAATCCCTAAGTAATTCATGTGCACACTGAAGTTTGAGAAATACTGACCCAAACAATCTCTAATTCTGCATGAAGCTTTCTTTCAAGTTTAATGTTTCGATCATTTTCGTCTCGTATTAAATAAGCCACAGGTAGTTCTCACTATTAAATAGTATTAGAAGATATTAGAAGAAAGAATCTTTCTTTCAAACCTTGTAGTCAATTCACAAGTCCCTTTTCCACATATTGAGTGACTCATTAGCAAATTAAGACACAAGAGGTAACTGAACATCTATGAGTCAAGATGTTGCCACCAAATGAATCTGTTTTCATTTCCATAAAAAAGAAACAAATACTTACACAAAAAGAAACCCTGAGGTAAAGACATTTTAAGGTTTTTGGTACTAGAGATATTTAACAGAGATAAAATATTAGGATATTCAGCTTTATGGCTAAGTGCCCCTTCCAATAAAAAAGCTGTATGTCTGACTCAGTCATGAAAATGGTTCTCCAAGTTCAAACCACAAAGATCAGCCTACCAGCCAACCTTATGGTAGACTCATGAGAGTTCTCTCACTGTTATAGCATTACATATTTAGAAAAGACAGAGTCTTTGACAGAATCTCTACTTCCAACTTTAATTTTTCAAAAATCTAAATTTAAATGTATTACAGATTAAAACTGCCCCAAGAAATAAAGTGTAAGAATCTTTATTGCTGGAAAATTCAATATTTAGAGAAAAAAAGGCTTACCTAAAAATTCTAAGAGATTAGTTTTTAAAAATATGCCATGGCTGCATTTTCTTATTGGTAAATCTAGATTATAACATGAACACCAAAGGTAAATGACTCACTGGATTTAAATATCATTCCCAACAGTAGCTGTATTTACATTTTCTTCCCTCTCATGCCATACATGTGTAGTAAAATGGCTTTATGGATTCAACATTTACCAACATTTCAGGAAGCCAAAAATCAATCATTCTCAAACTGTACTGTCCAATACAGTATCCACTAGCCCCATGTCTGTATTTCGCTATTGAGCATTTGAAGCGTGGCTGGTCTAAATTAAGATGTGTAGTAAATGTAAAATACAAAATGGCTTTCAAAGTCTTTAAAAAAAAAAAAAAAAAGTACCTGATTCTTTTTTATACTGATTACATGATGAAATGGTATCTTGGATATATATACATATATATGGTTAAATAAAATATATTAAAATTAATTTCACATTTAATTTTCAGGTTTTTCAAATGTGCCTACTAGAAAATTTTAAACTACATGTGGCCTACATTATATGTCTACTGGACAGTACTATTCTAGAGTACCTCCAGAACCTATGGACATTTTAAGGGAGCTAATGATTCTTATCAGAGGGTGAGAACATTCAAAATTCAAAATAACTTTTTTAGTTTAGGCTTGAGATATTAGCATGAAACTAAACTACTTAGCTTGACACATACTAATACTGAAAAACAGTATCTATGACATTCTGGCAGACAATTTTGCAATGCATTGATTACAATGTTGAATTTAGAAATATTGGGAGAATTTATAAACCTAAGTAAGCTTTTAATCCATGAAGATGTCAATGATCAATTTTAGATGACCACTAGAAATGTGACCTTTTTTACTACAACTGCTTTTTACAAAGAGAAAGATTTCCAGTAGTCCCCATAAATTTTACGTTTCTCTTCCATTATTTGGAAAGCTGACAGATTCCCTTCTATCTTAATTTGTCCTCCAATCAAGCTATCAAACAATCCAAGAGTCTATGAACGTCCCATTCTTTACCACAAAGCCCACCTGCATCCATAACCAGAAATATTCATGAAATACCCTCCAAAAAGATGTTATTTTCAACCTTGCTATTTTTAAGAAGGATGATTAAAAACACAAATCTGATGAAGACTAATGAAAAACGTTTGGGTATTTCTGGTACTAAAATGCAAAACCAAGTGTCAAAAAAAAAAATCCTAAAACCAGGTATCCAAATTCAAACTCAAACCTCTTTACCCTAAGTACTTATTAACACACCACATCTTTAGCAAGATGTTGTGACACATAAAAATTTACAAACTTCAAATTTCAATGTCCATAAATGAAGGTTTACGTAACACAACTATTTATTTATGTATCATCAAAAGTTACTCTGGTGCTTTAAGGGCAAAGCTGAGCTGCAACAGAAACTGTATAGCTCACAAAGCCTCAAGTTTTTACTACCTGTCTTTTTACATTAAAACTTTGTTGACTCCTGATGGAGTAAACTAATCATCAATCCACATGGATTTCTAAAAAAAGGCTTTGCATGAATACTCCATTCATTCATTCATTGGCTGCAGATCTCCATCTCCCCACCATATCCCTAATTCTACCAGATTGGCATTATTCTGACCTATATACCAGATTTCTGCATAAGATTTTGTTTAAAGAATTGTAAGCCTAAATAAAAAGGTCTGAAAATAAAAAACTTTGTTGGATCACAAATTATACTCAAATACAATGCCAAGGAGGTCATAAAAGTATTTCAAAATTGGACCTCTGGGTTGGTTAAGGTACAGACCTTCCCTCCTTTATCAGGTGGATCATTCAAGATGTTTTCAGCCCTCTAAAATGAGTCATCTCTTACAGATGAAAATTTACTTTTAAAGACTTAACTACTCTTTTTCATCCTCCCCCCTCTAAAAGATGGGATTCTACCATTCTTTGCAGAGAATGACATAGGTTAACGGACAATTCATTAGGATATAATTTTCTTAAAAAGAAAATTAAACCTATAATGTACTATAAAACTATATACCATTCTCAGGTAGCCAATTATCTGAAATCTACCAACAGGAAAATTTAAAAACTGTTTACCTAGTTTGGGGTTGTGTGTGATGCAGAAGGAAGCAACAGGGTAAGCACCATGTCACATTACATTGCTCACTTCATTTGTATCCATGGGATGGAAGACTGCTCTCTTTGATAATCAATAGGCATATATGTGCATTACCTTGGTAAATTGACGTTAGCTCTCAATCAAAAGACTTTTAATGTCCAAGTGTTTACAAAATACATTAAAAATGTTTAGCCTTTAGTTGTTCCACCATATCAAAGCACTGAACACTAAACAAATACAAATTAGATCAAATTCCTGGCTCACTTGAAGAAACAGTGCTGTATATAACTGGTTTTTTATTTCTCAGGTCAGCTCAGGGACAGATACTCAGTCCCTAAAGAGTAAAAGAATGAACCAGGATGAATATAATATTAAGTATTAGTTAATGGACCATTGACAATTTCAATTCCCAAGGAACACAAGGTATCTTTTAAGCCTGTGTATTTTACACACAAATTTGCAATCTGCAAACCTCATTAAAATGAGGACAAAAAAGGTTAACTACTTTTTCATTTTTATTTTTATAGCCAAAGTGCTAAGTTTACAGATATTTTTAAAAATAAGTTTTCAACCATTTTTCATAACATATACTCTAAATAAATACCAAACCTGTAATACTAACAGTAAGGGGAAAAAAAAACCTCAATCAAAGTCATTCTTTACTCCAACAGCTTTATCTAGACAAAATACACAATGGTTTGTGATGCTTCACTAAATTATTTCAATAATTTACTTAAGAAGGGAGACAAAATAGCTTACTAACATTAAATCTTCCTCTCATTTCCCACCACCACCTTTATACTCTGCTATCGCCTCCTAAACACTTTCCCTTCCCAACAGGATTCAAGACTAAGGAACACCCTTCTTTAACTTCCAATCAAAAGTTCACTTACCTGTTACTTTTAACATACAAAACATTTGGATTTTCCAGAGTCACCTTTTAAAGGAGCTTACATTCTAGCTTTGGCAGGAAAGACACAGTCAAGTGGTTTAACTACCACCACAGTAGGGAACTTTTCTCTACTGGTGTTTAAGATACACCACATAAATTAATTGCTAACACAGCTTAGTCTAATATAATTTATGTGCCACCTTAAGACTGAAAAAAATAAATTTAGAATTTCTGCCCTCTCCTCCATAACACATTTCCTTTTTAAGCCTCTTAGCTAAATTAGATGCTGGAATCAAACCAGCTAAGTAACAACTTAACAAAGAGAAAGAAAAAAATGGAGGCATTTACACCTAAGTACTTACCTTGATCCTGTCATAGGACCTCTTCCATCCTTGTCATATCCCCCACGCCCTCTACCTCCTCCCTGTGACCCGCCATATCCTCTATTATCTTCTCCATACCTACTCATATCACGACGGTCATCTACAAAAACAAAAATAACAGATACATACATCAGGAAATAACCATTGTCATTTCTGACAAAAGCATCACATAGTAAGTTCAAGTCATATATTATGTTCTCTGAAAACGCCGCATGTGCACAAACTCAAGTGCAAGTTATTATAAAACCACCTGGAATTACATGTGTTAAGCATTCAATCAAACTGTGTCAAATTCCATTCTGCTAAGTCAGACAGCAAAATGATGATCTGCAATAGCTTGTATTAAGTATACAAGAACTGCAGCAAATCAGATAAAAAATACAACTCTAATCTTAAAAGTTAATACTTGCTTCATCTCAAAATACTTAAATGTAAGTCAAAAATGCACAGGGAATAACTGGATTTTCAAATTGAAAGGAGGTACTCCATGAATGTGCTTCTACTCATTCACTTATTTACCCAAACAATTATTCAACAAATATTTATCGAGTACTTACTATCAACCAAGCCCTATGCTAGGCACCGAAGGTAGAAAAATGAATAAAACAAGATCCTTGCCCCTTGACGTATGGATAGATTACAAAATATCAGTGGTATATACAAGGTCCAATGGAAAAACCAAACAATGATTTCCCCTTTTTAGTTGAGGTTAGATTACGGGATCACAATCTCCCCAAATCAAGTACACCACCACTATCAAAAGCAACTGGTAGCAGTAGCAACGTCAAATGATTAGAGTTCACTGAGACAAAGCAGATTCACGTAGTTAGCCATAAAACAGTCATGTGATTATTTGGGAATCGCTATGAAATTCACAATAGAAATCTATTACATTACTTTTGATGGTCATGAGAAAGAAAAAATGTTTAAGATCACCTCAAATTTTTACAAACAGTTGAAATCTTGTGTGCATTTTTAAATTTAAAACTCAATACACAAATAATTCTAAGAAAAAAAAAAGAAAACAGAAGTCAGTGTATCTTACCTTGTGCATGGTGGCTGTAATTTTCCCTTTGTGAATGATAGGACTGCTGGTTTTGATTATAGGAATCATGCTGCTGATCATAATTTGACTGCTCGTCATATGAGCCTTGATGCTGATCATAGCCTGACTGCTGGTCATACGAATCTTGTTGACCATAGTCTGATTGGTCATAGGAAGGCGCTCTTCCACCTTGGCTAAACAGAAATCAAAAACTTGAGAGACTTTATAGGAGAATTATGCTTACCATAGCGAGCCAATTGAAACTGATATAAGAGGCCTGACCAGCTAAACACCAGCCGTATTAAATACTATTTTCTCATGGTAACTATTTGGTTCTTTTATCTACAAAGTCTCCTTTTTACCAATGGAATGCCTATCAAATGACAATTTCACTATTACTGATGAGGTGCTATATTACGAGAAAAATCACATGCACCTGTTAAAATTGTAGTGAAGCAATAAATCACTACGATTGTCACCATTCTCCTTGAATTTAACAAACAAAATAAAAAAAGTTAAAAATGCCAAAGTACAAGAATGTCTGATTCTTTAACAAATATGCCACAATGAGTGCTGAATCCTTTTAAAAGTTACATTGAAATGGTGTATGTATGCTAATTTTTAACAACATCAGCTATTAAAACATTTTTGGAACTTTTCTTTCTTCTTTAGAACTGACGGCAGAGCTAGCTATCCACCTTAGAACCTACAGTACATCTTTCGATAGATCTTTAAACAATAAATTCTAGAAAATAATAATAAATTATTTATATGTAAGTCCAATGAGTAAGAGGAAATAACTTGCCTTGTGATGCCATTTTATTTTTTACTTACAAGGAAGTCTATCAACAAGATTGCTTCTTATTTCTCACAATTCCAAAAGAAATTCTAAGTATGTTATGTATGTCTACATCAATTACCCGTTCTCGGGATGGGAATGGTAAATGGCAACTTAACTGTATTTGAGTGCTAATGTTTACTTTTAAAAAAGGAGAACAAAAAAAGTCTTATAATTTAGTTTAAAAAAAAAAGTTGCTGTCAAGTTCATTCCAATTCATGGTGCCCCATGTGCTCCATAGGCTAATTTTTCAGAAGTAGATCATCAAGGCCTTTCTTCCAAGATGCCTCTGTGTGGACCTTTGATTAGCAGTCTATCACATTACTCATTTGTATACATTATTTAATCTTATTTACATCTTAGTCTGCATCAAATCAATCTAACAAAGATCAGCATAATCCCCAGGCAGGCCCCTACCGAAAACTACATTACAATGGTCAGAACCCTAGCACTTCACTTTAAAACAGCTGTCAAACCCAACCTAACATTTCTCTTTGGCCTACATCTATGTCATGCTTCAAAAACACACCCTTATCAAAAAATTCCCTTTGAATTGAAAATTAATCTTTTCTTTACCTCTGTAAAATGGGGATAAATTACTGACACACTCTCATAATGGTGTCTGAAGATCAATTAGGTTAGAGACTAGAAAAGCATTTCAAAAAATGTAAAAAAAAAAAAAAAAAAAAGAACCCAAACCCACTGCCATTGAGTCAATTTCACTCATAGCGAACCCCACTGGGTTTCCAAAGGGTAAATCTTTACGGAAACAGATTGCCTCATCTTCATTCTATGGAGCAGCTGGTGGGTTAGCAGTCAAATGTCTTAGGCACTGTGCCACCAAAGCTCTTTATAAAACGTAAAGTACAATTAAAAAAAAAAAAAAAAAAGTTGCTATTACTAAAATTAACAAAAGTACAGCCTCTTAACATCTTAAAAGAAAAAAAAATAATTTAATCTGTAAACTTATTCACAAACATTCACCCAGCTATATCATCAAATAAAAGATATTTTTAGGGGCTTTGACATATGTAGATAGGTTTGGCTTTTTTTTTTTAGTTAATTCTTTTGCTCATAAAAAAATAATACATTCAAATAGTTTAAAAACAAAGTTGCAATTAAAAAGGTAGATATTGAAAATGTCTCATTTTGCAGGTAGGTTTTTATTTAATCTCACATATAAAGAATAAGTCTAAATTTTTCTAACATTTAAATCACATGCATTCAATTATAGTTAAACAGTAATTTTACAAAACACAAACTATAAGAATCGAATTACGATGCTATGTCAATTTCCAGATTCCGTCTACTACAAAACTGTAAAGTTCATACGCTATCAAAATCTTTTCTGGAAAAATCTTTTTCTGAAAACTAAGTGTTTGTTGGTGAAATCTGTTTAATACTCAAAGTGGTATTTCTACTGTCCAACACAATCTCAGTACTTTTACTATTTCCTTACCCTCCTGATGATTCCGTGTTTTGCTGTCCCTGGTTACTATAAGATTGCTGGCCATAAGAGCTCGGCTTTTGATTCTCATAACCACCGTAGGACTGTGAATAACCTAAAGATTGGATGGGTATACCATTTAGTGAGGGTTCTGATTTTTAAATCTCTAAAATAGCAAATTTAACAAACCAGTCCAACCTTGGCTTTGTCCATAACTGGAGTAGCTGCCATAGCTCGGTCCATATGAGGAATCAGTCGTTTGCCCATAGCCAGAATAGCTCTGAAATTTAGGTAAATACTCAAATTTCATCACCTACTTAAGATAAAAATAACTATTTACAAAAAACGTAGTTTATTTCAACCTACTTGTGATGTCTGTCCATAGCCTGGGTTGCTTGGAGCTCCATAGGAAGAATAACTGTAAAAGAAACATGCAATACTTGAAAGAAATGTGCCAGAACTCTGTAAACCATAAATGAAGAATTCTACCTTTCAACTCAAATACAACCTTTTATTCTGAAAAATTATCAATCTTCCTGTGTCTTAAGAGTCTAAAATGAAAGGTGACTATTATAGGTACAAATGAAGTCATTTCCAGACCTCCTGAATGCCAAACAAATACTGAAAGTTTTCTTTTTAGCAATCTCCCAAAAATAAACAAAACTTAGGCTAGAAAATCTCAAAAGAATTCTGTTCACAACATGACAATGTCTATAAAAATATCTAACACAGAAAAATTAAGACTTTTCAAGTTAGCACTTTAATCAATTTAACTACCAATTTTGAAAGATTACTTCTATCGATTGTCTTAGTTACATTTGTCTTTAACTTCCTAGAAAAAGCAGTGTGACATAAAAGTCTGGTTTAATGCCTCACTAACTGTAGACAGGTACATCTTCACTGTACTTATCATAGAATGAAATTATCTTGTACCCCAGTGTTACAGCATAGCCTGGCACACAGGAGTTCAATTAAGTATTTATTGACTGACTGAATGAATAAATGCACCTTCCTAAGATTTGAATTCTTTAATTTTATAGCATGGAAATTCAGAAACAAACTTTCTGGATACATACTACAACTTTCTAATAGCCAAAGAAAAATGAAATATTTGCAAAGAAAGAAAAAACCTCTTTATTATTGTAGTTATAAGCTACTAACAAAATTCCTTAACTTTTAAAAAATATATTTCAATGAACACATTTGACAAACGTCTACTACGAGGTTAAGCCTAGCTTATGAAAATTTAAAAAATGAAAGCTTAAAAATTGTATGACAGAATACCCAAGATGCTATATTCTGAATATCTCTGAGTTACAAAACATTCACATTATTAAGCTGAAGCCTGTCTTTCAGGTAAGTAACAGAAGACTGATACATATACACATTCACGTAAATCAGACATGACCACCGTTAAGAATTTTTCAAAAGATGCTAAATGTTTCTATTTATAGTGCTTTAAGAAAATCTGCTCTGAAAGAAACACATCAGCATGGTATACCAAAACAAAACTCACTGCTGTCGAATCGGACCTGACTCATAGCGACCCCTCCTTGGGTTTCCGAGGCAGTATCACCATGGAAATTGCCCAACCTTCCTTCCGAGGAGTGCTGGTGGATGTGAACTGCCAGCCTTCTGGTCAGCAGTGAAATGCCTTAGGCACTATGCTACCAGAGCTCCCCAGCATGATATACACTATCAAAAAATGAAATGTTTTCTTAAGAATCTGTTACAACTGCTTAAATTCCTTTACTCGTATTTCTTCTAAAAAAGTTCCTAAAAAAACAACCTTCACATTACCTACAACATTTATTATAATCTCTAGGAAGCATCCATATTTATTAACGCAAACAGCCTAAAAAAAAACCTTTTCAGTACCTATTTATATAGGACAGCTTCCCCCTCGTTAAGGCATCCAGGTACCAAGTATCAAGCATGACTAAATTCACTTTTTCCTCAGCTCCATCCTTTCATGGTATTATTAAAAGATATATATACTTTACCTTTGCTGCTCACCCCCAGACTGACTGTAACTTCCAGAATCTAAAACACATAAAAAAGAATTTTTAATCTTATTTAAAATTATGCTTCCCTCAAAGGCTAACTTTAGCTCTTCAAGATGACACATAAGAAAAGGTCACAAAAACTGCAGAAATACCAAAAATTTAAAAAGCTATGCAAAGAGAAGTCTACAGGATAGTATTTGCTTTTTACAGCAATTAAGTCTTTAAAAACAATGATTCTACAAACGTGCTAATGGTCATAAGAACCAAGTAAACAACTGTGAAACAATCAGTGAAAATCTATCCTTTTAACAAAAATTCCAAAGCTCAAGCTATATTATCTTTATCTATAAAAGATGTTTAAACTACCCAGAACTAAAAGAGGGAAAGACATGACCTCTGCAAGATAAATCCTAGGATTATATTTACTTGCCTATCTCCTCCCCCTTTAAAGTATTTCTCTATATCTAATCACTTTGATATATTAGAATGCAATAAAATGATCTCCAAAGACCTGATAAAAGCAGCTGGTTTGTTGTTTAAGTTTACCAAGCTTTCAGCGACTCAGACAACTGGCATACAAAGTCAGTAATACCTGCTCCTAGATTCCATTTTAGCAATAAAAAGTACCAAGGCAGGCATAAACTGATTACCAATACGCCCAAAAATAAAAGAAAAACGAATTCTAACTATCGTTTTCAATACTTCAAAGTGTCAGTCATACCAATTTTTATAGATGCTCTGTCCTTGAATAGTCTAAATTTATTTGTAATTAAGAGTAATTTCTTTCAACGAGTCTCTAACTGTTGACTATTAGACAGACTCAACCTCACTCAATTTGAAACAAACACTACTGTCGAACAGTTCTGAAGATTCACCAAAAATCAAATTAAATCAGTGACTTTTTTTTCATTCAATTCATCTAAAGCTACAATGAGAATATTCCCACTGGTCGTATAAGTAGGTGACATCAAATTTACCACTCTTGTGAAGACCTCCATCAGACTGAATATTCAAAAAAATAATAATTATCTTTAATTTTCAGATTAAAAACTGGTGACACAAACTACTACTTTTATGAATGTGGAGGATGGCATGGGCTACCCGAAATGAAAAATAAAAAAAAAACTATGTACCACTACCATAGCCATGATGGTAAAAAAGACTACAGAATTGAAGCTAACAGCTAAATATGAAAAAGCTGCTAATCTAATCAGACCATCAATTAGTTGTATCCATCAAATGAAAGAAATCAGATTCACCTAGAGACTGAAAACATTTATGGGGGGGGGCATAGCAAAACTTAAGATACACAGTGGATATCTATAAGCCTTAGGCATAAATACAGGTTTTCCCAACGGCAGAGTCTGTAAGAAAGATCTCAGAATATTTCCCTGTAGCTCTGGTAAAATTAACTAAGAAGCACCCAGCTCATGTGACTCCATCTCAAATCTGATAAAACACTACGGTTCTTAACCCAAGGAACCCTGGTGGCCTAATAGTTAAGAGGTGTGCTAACCCAATGGTTCAAGGTTTAAACCCACCCAGCAGGTTCACGAGATAAGACCCAGCAATCTGCTCCCATAGCTTTACATCCTACAATATCCACTGGCCCAGTTTTACCCTGTCCTATAGGGTCAGTGAAGGAGCTCTGGTGGGGCAGTTGTTGAGGCATCTGGCTGCTAACCATAAGGTCGACGGTTAGAACCACCAGCCACTCCACAGGAAAAAGATAAGGCAGTCTCTTCCATAAAGATTTACCACCTTAGAAATCTTATGGGGCAGGTCTACTCTGTCCTATAGGGTCCCTATAGTCAGAATCAACTCGATGGCATTGCAATGGGTATGGATAGGGTAATCATTATGAGTTAGATTCAAGTGACAGCACACAAGCACCACTTTAACCCAGTACTGCTGAATTGTAAATCTGACTCCAGCTTACCAACTTTAAAACTTGAGGGAGATACAGAAATAAGCACATTTGTAAGCCTGGCCCTTGGCGTATTTTTCTCAAAGTACACTTGTTTTACATCAGCGAAAACAAGTCTGTACATGTTATTTAAGGTATTTCAAACAATTTTTCATTTATGAAAGCAGAGTCTGTACCAATCTTGAGCCTTGTGACTAGACCATTATGTAGAAGTGCTTTTAAATTTCCGTATGTATAGGGTTTCCTTTTTTGGTTTCTAATTATATCCCACTGCTGGCAAAAGAAAAAACATGTATTTTCTGTAGTATTCTTTGGTATTTGTTAGGATTTGCTTTTATTTTACTCCATCTCCTCCATGGTAAACATTTACACCAAAACCTGTGAAAGCTGAAACATAGTTAAGGAAGAAACCTGTCAAAAGAAAGAAAACTCAAGTATTTTCTACTAAAATGAGTGGCAAAGGTGAAGACTACCCTGGAAAAGGCAGAAAACTCATGCAACCTGGAAAAACAAGGCAGTCCCATTGAGTTTTGACTCTCACAGTTCCACTGTACTTTTATAAATCCCCTAAGTGCTTGGAAAGAACTGTCTAGTTTCTGTTGAATGACCTGTTAAATTTATAAGAACACGCTTTTTAGTTTTGTCATTCATATTCTTCCTAATACATAGTCGGCCTGATTACAAAGAGGTATGTTTACAATGTCCTACTTTTGACCATGGATTTGTCAATTTCTTACAATTACCATCTTTTTTTATTTTTTTAATTGTGATTTGAGTGAAAGTTTACAGAGCAAATTCACTTTCCATACAGCAGTTCTCACATATCTCATGACATTGACTACAATTTACCCCAATGCAACAGCTTCCCTCTCACTTCCTCCCCAGCTACCTCTTTACTGTGTCCATCCCTCCATGCACTCCTGCCCCCTGAACTGTCACTCCTGCCCCCTGAACTGTCTCCCTGTGCATAAATAGCCCTTCTTTCTCCTATGATTGTTCTCTCCAAGTACATCTAGTTAATGTAAATGTTCAGCTCATATGCCTGTCTTTTGTTTGGCTGGGAGCCACAGATGTGGGTTCAATTCCAGACCTGAAAGGCAGCTAGGGACCATAGTCTCAGTGGTTCCACCAGGCTCTATCAGACCAGCAAACCTGGTCCCTTTTTTTTTCATTTTTTTTTTTTTCCCCAAAATGATTTTGAGTTTTGTTCCACATTGTTCTCCCTTTCTATCCAGGATCTCCCACATAGATCTCCCTCTGAGTGGTTGCCAGTGGTTGCCAGGCACCATCTAGTTCTTCTGGTCTCAGTCGTACAGGCTGGTTTATCAGTCATGAGGACTAATTGTTTCCATGAATCTTTGGTTTTCTTTGCTCTGGACAAAGAGAGACCCATTGTTGCATCTAGATGGCCGCTTGCAAACTTTTAAGATGCCAGGCGCCACTCATCAAAGTAGGAGGTGGAACAATGTTTTGTGTAGTATGTTATGCCAATTGAGCTTGATGTCCCCTGCAGCTATGGTCCTGAGCCCACAGGTTCAACTACTTGCTCCCTCTGGGTAGCTGGCTGTGACCAAGAAGTAACTACAACCTTGTCCCTTGTCAGCTCTACTACACCCCTGGGAATTCTTACAGAACATACAAATACACTTGTAGAACCCATTGTCTGCCAACCCTATACATGGTCTTGGGTACACTCCCTGCTGCACAGACACACCTAATAGTTCAGCCTATCGATCCATCTATCCACCCGTATATGCATGTTTGCCTTCACTGACAATGCAGTCCAGTACATGCAAAAGCATTCATCTTTGTTGTCTGCACCTCCCATGTACCTCTCTATCTCTTCCTTTTCCTCAATGCCACCATGATGATCACTCACTTTTGGTACAATGCCCTTCTCTTCACCCAAATCAATACTTATCTCTACCTATCTAACAGTGTTCCCCTCCCCTCCCACCCTTGGTAACCAACAAAGAAAATTTCCTTCCATATATAAACCGTTTCTTGACTTTTACAATAACAAACTAATACAATATTTGTCCTTCTGTGATGGACTTATTTCACTCAGCATAATGCCCTCCAAGTTCATCTACGTTATGTAATGTTTTCCAGATTCTACATTATTCTTTAGGGTTGCATAGTAATCCACTGTGTGTATGTGCCATAGTTTGGCTATCCATTCCTCAGTTGATGGACACCTAGGTTGTTTCCAACTTTTGGCTACTGTAAATAGTGCTGTGATGAAAATGGGTGTGCATATGTCTGTTCTTGTCATGGCTCTCACTTCTTTAGAATATATACCTAGTAATGGAATGGCTGGATCAAATGGTATTTCTATTTCCAACTTTTTAAGGAATCTCCATACTGCTTTCCACAGTGGTTGTACCATTTTACTGTCCCACCAGCAGTGTAGAGTCCCAATCTCTCCACATCCTCACCAGCATTTATTTTGTCTTGTTGAACTTTGCTGCTAGTGCTGGGGCAAGATGGTATCTCGTTGTTGTTTTGATTTGCACCTCTCTAATGGCTAATGATCACGAGCATTTCTTCAAATGTTTAATTACCATCTTTTTACTTCCTTCATTTATAGGTTATGCTATTAGGTACATTTAAAAAAAAAAACTCACTGCCATCAAGTCGGTTCCGACATTCTGAGCCAGTTATCACTACAGAAGTAGACTGCCCAGTTTCCTTCCAAAAAATGGCTGGTGGGTTTGAACTGCCCTTCTGGTTAGCAGTCAAATGCCTTAGGCACTATGCCACCAGAGCTCCTGTTAGGTACATGAAAGTACAGATTTTTATATATTCCTGGTGAATTTCCTTTAGCATTACATGAAGATTCTATCACTAAAAATGCCCAAATTTTGACTGGTAATACAACTTAAAAATAATCCTCCTTTTGATTGGTATTTGCCTAGTTAATCTTTTTCCATCTCTTTACTTTGATCATTTCTTGTTCTTATGTTTTAGTTGTCACTTCTGAATGGCACTAGAGATCACTTTTTCCCAATGTGAACACCTCTGCCTTTTAACTGGTTTAATACTTGGACATTCATTATTATATTTTTATTTCTATCTTCTATTAGATTTTCTACTGTGAGCTTTCTTCTCCCCTTGTAATTCCTTTCCCATTTTCTGTTGGACCTTCTTTACTCCTTTTTCCTTTCTACTGCTTTGGAAGTTACACATTCAATTTCCGTTCATTTAATAAGTCACCACTCATAATCATGATTACGTTCAACCTTTAACATGGCATTCCTGACAGCTCAAAATTATCTTTAACCTCCACTGAATATAAAGACTTTAGTAATCCAATACCAATCATGTTCTTCATCTATTCATTTGGTTCCACTTTCTTTTTTAGTCTCTAAATGTAATCATTTTTTATCTTCATTGTTCTATGCAGACAATATTTGTTTTTTCCTGGTGGTGTTTTCCATCCTTCCTCTGATGATTTTGTAGCCCACTCCTCACTTCTGGATTTAATTTCCTTTATTAGTGCTCTAAAAAAAAAAGGACTGAGTGACATTCTTAGTCTTTTTGTGTCGCACAGCTAGACAATAATATCTAGGTACAAAATTTCCGATCATTGGTTATATTCTGGTTTCTTATCTGTGTCAAGTCTACTGTCAGTCTTACTTTAGCCCTCTTGTACATGTTATTGGTATATCATAATCTGTAGTTCTACATCAATGTGTCTCAAACCAAAAACCAAACTCATTGCCATCGAGTCAATTCCGACTCAGTGAACCCCTCACTGGGTTTCTGAGGCAGTAAATGTTTATGGAAGTAGATCACCCCATCTTCCTTCTGTGGAGCAGCTTCTGTGTTTGAATCGCTGACCTTCTGGTTAGCAGCTAAATACCTTATCCACTATGCCACCAGAGCACCTTCTTTCAGAAGTTTTTAATGACCATAGTATCCATTGAAACATGGTAAATTTCTTCATGAAGGCATGGTTTTGGTTTTTTAAGTCATGGATAGGTTATGTATCCTCCATAGAATGTACTCCTATGAACTTTACCAGACTTCATTCCAACCAATGCATCTAATAAAAAGTGGTGGACCACTGTCTACTTTGGAGTGAAAAAAATTCCTTATAGGAGCAAGGATTAAACAGATAAAGAAGCAAGAGGTAAAGTCAGTACAGCTATAGCCTCTCAGACCAAATAAATAGGCCCCAAAAGAGATCAATATTCTGGGGTTCCTTATTTCAATGTTAATCTAAAGACTGTATAGTGTATATCATTCTCCTCTCCAATCATTCTTGCTAATTTGGACTCCTCTCAGCCTGCTGCTTCTTTTTAGTCACACATCTTCATCTTTATGCAAGACTACTACTATATTATTAACAGGTTGTCCCTTTAAATTAAAAATACAACAGACTCTGCCAGCAGACATTTTCACGACAATCATATAGCTTCTGGGAAACTGACATCTAACTCTCATGATGGTTTCTATTAAGAGAGTACTTAGGTTTTTCAGCTTGTGATGTGATGTAGCACAAGAGAGACCACTGCGTGGTCAGCTAGGACTGCTAAATGGAGAGACCATGTTCTTGAATTGGTATTGTTTTAGCAGGATCTAAACTGGCTGTCCTGGAGAGAGCAATGCCTCTTCTTCCCTTACACAACTGCTGGCCCCTGCCAATTTAACCACCTCGTGGCAGAAGAAGCGTGTTTCCTTTGGTCCGTAAGTTTTAAAGGAACTGCCACATGCACCTGCAGAAGCCTATCAATAACAGAAAAGGTTCAGTTTCATGCTTTTGCAGTAGGTAAACAACTAAAGGGGAGCAGAGTAGTGGTAAGGGGATGTATGAAAAGGAAGCTGAATTATATGCAAACACCCACAACTCAAATCCAGGCGGCTATTCCAAGAGGAGTAACGTTAAGTACGAACTCGTACAAAGCAACGTCCTTTGAAAGGGCTCCCAGAGCGTCAAGGCCCCCACCTGATGAATGAGTGAGTCAGGAAGGCCCAGCTCCACTTCACGGATGGGGAAACAAAGGTACGAGGCGACGGCCCGAGGCCTCGCTGAAAGATCGCAGGCGGAGCGGAGAACCAGAAGCACCGATTCTCTCAAGCTGATGCTCTAATCACAGCTCCCCCCGCCCCCACGATGGCGTAGACGGCCTCCGCCCCCCGACTCACTCACATACACACCGTCCCCCGGGAGCCGCAAGTCTCCTCAGATTCCAAGGACAGGACCAAGACACAGGGCCCGAAGCGCTCCCGCAGAGATTCGCAGACCGAAAGCGTTGGGATCACGCGTCTCTCCAGTCCAACATGGCGACGGCCGCGGCCGCCTCCCCCCATCCCAAGCCTCCCTCAGGGCCGGGGGCTTTCCCTCGGGGCCCTCTGGTGGGCGGGAAGACGACCCAACCCCTCCAAGGCCCCTTCCCGCAGCTGCCGCTGCTCATTGAAGTAGTCACTTACCAGACATGAGTAACGGCCGCGGCGCAGAGCCCCTAAAGCCCGCCGAGAACAAGGAATACGTGAGCCAGGCGGCGCGGCGGCCGGAGCTGTACTGAGGTCGGCGCGGCGGGCTGATCCCGACTGCGGGGCCTCGACAGCCAATCAGAGGACAGTGGATGATACCACAGCGCCAGGGCAAGAGGGGTGATAGCTATACTAGTATGGACCTCTGAACTCTTAGGACTACAAAATCCCTCTCTGTTCTCCCCTCAGCGAACGGTACCATTATTGAGAGGGAATTGAGAAGAGAAAATACCAATGCGGTTCTTAAGATGGGGGAGGAAGCGGAGCCTACTCCGTTCTAATTACAATCCTATTTCTCACTTTTTTGGTTCTGATAAGAGTTCGAAGTTAAGAAGCGATAAAGGAGGGATCTTAGAAAAATAGACTAGTGCTTAGGAAAAGTCGCGCAGTGGTTAAAGCTGAGGCCTTATAAAATAATACTAACCATAAAGGTCGGTGGTTCGAACCCACCAACCGTTAAGGGCCAGACTGCTTCTGTAAAGATTTATAGCCTTGGAAACCTATGAGATAGTTCTAATCTGTTCTAAAAGGTCGCTGTGAGTCGGAATCTACTCTATGGTTTTTGGTTAGTTAGGAAAGGCCTTTCTACCCCCAAAATTTTGAATGGTATGCACTCGCTTGCCCAGCTTTTGCTGCAGAGAGCCTGAGCCACCTGGGGGCGTTCGGAGTCAGTGAGCTCTGAGACCGAGTCGTGACTAACTAGTTTGGATACCTTACTGTCTCAAGGAATTAAAAAAAAAAAAAAGGAGTATTACAAGATGATACCGGAACAAAAGTATGCATTAAAACAAAAACACACACAACACTTGATCCTGAAAGTGGGGGGTGAGGGCACGCAAGCTTTAGTTTTCAGTGCTATAATAATGTTGTTGTTATATGCCCTCCACTCATAGTGACCCCTCCTTGAGTTTCTGAAGTAGTATCACTACGGAGGTAGATTGCCCCATCTTGCTTCCGAGGAGTGGCTGGTGGGTTTGAAGCGCCAGTCTTCTGGTTAGTAGTCAAGTGCCTTTAGGCACTACGCTACCAGCTAACTCTAATTGTCAGTCGCTTTACGTCATCTCTTTTAATTTTCACCACAGACTGATGAAATATTAGCCCCATGTTACAGATGAGAAGACAGAATCACTTGCCCTAGGTCGCCCAGAAAGGAAATGGCCAAGCTGGAATTCAAACCCTAGTAGCCCAACACCATTGTCTGTGGGCTGAAGCATTGTGCCTACCAAAAACCAAATCTGTTGAAGTGGAGTTGATTCCAACTCATGGTGACCCCATGTGTTACCAAGTAGAATTGCTCCATAGGGTTTTCTTGGCGGCAATCTTTATGAAGGCATATCGCCAGGCCCTTCTTCCTCCTACAATGGCCTAAACTCTAGAGTATGAGATGGGGCTGTGAAAGCTCAGAAAGCACAAGACATTTTCCCTGAGGGTGCTGCTGTGACATCCCACCCAAACCCTAGGTGATGAGCAGAAGCTGACCAAGTGAGTAGCAGGGAAAAGTGCTTTCCAAACCAAACCAAAGCTCACTGACATGGAGTCAGATCCCACTCATAGCAACCCCTCCTTGAGTTTCTGAGGCAATATCACTCCCGAAGTAGATTGGCCAACCTTCCTTCAGAAGAGTGGCTGGTGGGTTTGAACCGCCAGCCTTCTGGTTAGCAGTCAAATGCCTTAGGCACTACGCTACCAGAGCTTCCTTCCAGACCAATGTAGAACAAATAATTCCAAGTGTTTACCTATTAGGGAAGAGTGGTAAGTGATGAAGCCAGAAAAGTAGGGAGAGAATGCTGAGGCCTCACAAAGTACATCAGAGTTGGTGCTTTATCTTGAAGGCACTAACTAATCAGAGAATCTTGAAGGAGAAGAGTAAGATCAGATTTGCATTTTCAGGCTGCATTATGAAGAATGCATGGCAGTAAGAGGTGCCTAGAAGCAGGGACACCAATTAGATGGTCATTGTAATAATTCTGGTGAAAGATCATAGTGGCCTGCACTTAGGTACTAACTGTAGAGGTATACATAAGTAAAGAGATCCCAGGGATACTTAATCTGTAGACTGGACAAGACCTGGTGACAAGTTCAGGTGGAAGGAGTTCAGGAAAACAGAGGAATCTGGGATGAATTCTGGCTTTCCCACTTAGACAATTGAGCAGATGATGGTGCCATTCACAGTGATAGGAAACAAGAAGAGGAGGAGGTTGGGGTGGAGGTGGAAGGAGAAGTTCAGAATTAATGCCTTCAGGTCAGGAAAAAAGCATGAGGTCATCCTCTTCTGGTTATACCAGCAGTAATTGTGCCCTCAACTCTAGGTAATAGAGTCACAGAGCCTTCTAGACAGTTCTAAACCAGCAAGGTTAAAGGAATAGAAGCTCTTTCAGGGTTGAAAAACATTTAACCGTTTAGTATATCACAATATAGAGGAAGGCAACCTAGGAGACAATTGGGTTGAAAGGGAGATCTCGTGGTTTTTCTTCTTTTAAGAATTGGGTTCTATTTTTGTAAAAGAAGGAAATACAGAAAGCGTTGCTTATCATCAACTCCTTAAGGTTGTGTCTCCATCCGTTCATTCACTCTTCACTCTACTGCTGTCTCCTGAAGTCTACTATGTGTTGTTGTTGTTGTTGTTGTTGTTAAGTGCCGTCGAGTCGTTTCCGACTCATAGCGACCCCATGCACAGCAGAACGAAACACT